ACAGTGCCCAGCACTGCACTGAGCTCTAAATTGTGAGTTTTAATAATCATCAGTAAGTATATTAAACATAAAATATGAGTTAGGGTATTGAAATAATTTCCTCAAATAGGTTAAAATTTCAATATCAAGATCTTCAATGAACCAACACTTTGTTCTTGGTGACATTTTTGTGCAGAGCAGTTGGCTTAGGTGCGAGTCTAATACTAGCATGTAAACTCATTAATTTGATATGACTTTGATCATTTAGCTTCTAACATATTTTGTTGCTGATCGTGTGCACAAAACATACAGAAAAGTTGTTCTTGTGTTTTGGAAACTTACTGATCTGATTTGAGTGTTTTAACAAGCGACGTTTCAGCTGCTTTCTACTCTCCTTTCTCTGAAAGTTTATAGTCATAAATCATTGCCAAAGCCGGAAAACACACAGATTTTTTGTTATTTATAAACATTTTTGCAAACTATTCAGAAAAAGATTTTTTTTCCAAGGAGACATAAAGTTCGGGTTTGATGGAACCGACATAAACTCCTGCAGACAGTTTATAAGGAATTGAGCTTGGTGATCAGCACCTCTGCAGTTACTGGAGACCTGATCAGGACATCCCTCATTAAAACCCATTTCCACAGACTTAATGTTTCTTTCTTCCCCCCTTTTTTTTTTTCCAGACCGCTCCGGTATTGTAGAGGTGGGAGCAGTGGAGCAGCTGCAGGAGAACCTCATAAAGGCTCTGCGTTCGCTCATCACCAGTCGCCGGCCGGATGACGGCACACTCTTCCCGAAGTTGCTGCTGCGCCTGCCTGACCTCCGCACACTGAACAATCAGCACTCGGAAAAGCTATTAGCTTTCCGCATAGATCCATAAGTTAACATTTCATGGCAGAGTCACGAGGTATCCGCTTCCGGGGTCCTCTTTGCTCTCCGTGTGAGCCTGGGCTGCTCGATGGAGCACCGTGGCCTCTGCATGCCAGACAGCTGTTTCAGGAGCCGCGCCACGTTTATCTCTGAGGGCGAGGAGTGGAAGGAGTGGAAAACCACCGGAGAACATCAGCACAACGGGTGAAGGCTCCTCAACTTTAGAGCTTCCAGCTGGACTGTCAAGAAGAAACGGACTGTATTCTTCCATGAGTTTCTTCGAGTCAGTGTCAACCCGTCACCTTTCCCCTCCCTCGGCTTCTGGTTTTTATCAGAAGCAAACTTTTTCTACCGAAGACCAAAAGGAAAGGAAAAAAAAGGACAGAGCTTGTTGTTGCTCATCTATGTTCTCCTGTCCCAGCTCATAAAGCTAACAAGAAGAAAGCACAAACTTTTGAGATAAAAACAACAACAGAAAAAAACATTTGCCAATACAAACTTCGTATTATGCTCTTCCCATGTATATATAAAAAAATTCACCTGAATACAAAGTTTGTCCTAGCAAAGGCCATTTCTAACAACGTTTGTGCTTGCCCGGTCGAAATTAAATAAGCTATTTTCACAGCATCTCATGTGGGAAATCTTTACTGAAATCATCCATTTGTGATTGAGATATGTTTGATATTTTTAAGGAATGAGTTGTATTTATACACGCTATAATTATTGGTCATTTTAGACCACATTTGAATGGATATATGTATATGTCAAGGTGTTCTGTTGTACATTTTTGTACAGAACTTGTTGTAGTTGCTTCCTTGCTAGATGCAGACAGACGTATATGTTAAATTGAACTATTGAAAGCTGCCAGATTGCTTTATAGAGGATTCCCATCATGTGCTTCGAGGGTATAGTTTTTATTTGGAGAGATGCACCTGAAATAAATGTGTCGTCACTGATGTATATTTTGTAAATGTCTATAATCGCAGCATAGAGAACCACTATTAAAAAAAATAATATTATATATCATTTCTCTTTGTGCTTGTCGTCTTTTTCCCTCTGATGCAGAGACATACCCATAGATCAGTAGCCTAGCAACTGAGCCAATCAGCCAATCGGGCTTCAGATCTGACAGTCATTAGACTTTCCTTTTTTTCCCCTCTTGTAGTGAAACATCACCTGATCTTGAAGTGCGTTAGCGAGACCAGGTCGACTCATATTTCTTTTATTACAAGTCAGAATGTGACGTACAAATAGCGCACGGGAACATTTTGTAGAGAGGAGGTGAGAAGAGGAAAGGACCATAAATAGAAGGATTAATGGAAAACTCAAATATGCCAGTGAAATGCCAGTTGTAGCTTAATTAGGGACTCAAGTGTCTTCATGGTGTTCATGATGAGAATAGACCGACCGTGAAACGGCGAGAAGAGAAGCTTGAGTTGCTTCAGAACAGAATGTCCTCTCACTGGAAATGTTTGAGGACAGTTTCCATAAACAGCAACTCTGCCCTCCAGAAGCCCTATTAATGACTCACTGGCAATAACTTTATTTTATTTATTTTAAATGCATGAGTAGGAAATGACAAAAACCTTTAGAATGCCATCAAATACATGTACGTGTTTCTGCAGAAAGCAGATTGTCAGATTGTCACCTGACTGCACCTTTAGCATTTCAGTAACTAAGTACCAGAATCAGTCAGTGACTCTTCAACATGGATTGGAGAAGAAAAAGGGGAAAAAATAGTTTCAGAAGTAATACAGTTCTTAATCTGAATGATGAACATTCCTTAATTTGATATAAAACAGACAGACGCTATAACAATAATTATTTTAAATTCAAATTTCTGCATTACTGATCTTCAGCAGTGATAAGCTGATCCATGAGGGAATCTTTAAGGCTTCGTCTGCCACCTGCTGGACAGAACCGGAACAGAAAAGACAGGTTTCAGATTTAGATCCAGTCATTTTCATTCTGATGCAGTGGATTCATATAACAATAACAACATTTACAACAACAGCGGCGCTTTATTGTCTGATGTACCGCGCGTTTTGTGGCTATGTGTGTGAATAAATAAAGTTGACTCGAGTAATATGTTATATTACTCATATTTAGGTCCAATAGGACGTGTAGAAATTCAGCTTTATTACATCCATTTGGGTTTAGTTGCATCCAGTTCTGTTTAATTCTTGACATTTCAATTTAAACTAATTCAATTAATTTTCTTTGCGTTTAAATGAATTCAAGTCATTAATTTAAACACCTTCATTTGTCCCCAGCTGTCGGTTTACCAGGAAATAAACCTCGAGACGCCTTGATTATCCTCTGCTGCCATCTGACGGCCATTAAACCACAAGCTTCCTTGGTCAGGACTGGGTTGTTTTTTTCTTCTGCTGTCCTCTGGTGGACAAACTAGAGGACGGCAGAAGATTGAGCTTTTATGACGAGTTTCATTTCAGAACATTTTCTGTTCACCTTTGTCCCTAGTGGGGTCAGGAGGTGATGGTGCCTATTCCTGCGGATGTTTCGGGCGAGAGGCGGGGTCACACTGGACAGGTCACCAGTCTGTCGCAGGGCAACACAGAGACAGACAGGACAAACAACCACGCACACACACACACACACACACACACACGCGACACACACACACACACACACACACACACACACGCACGCACGCACGCACGCACACTCACACTCACAATGAGGGAGAATTTAGAGAGTCAGATTTACCAAACTCCATGCAGAAAGACCCCGGCCATGCAGAGAGGACCTTCTTGCTGCAAGGCGACTGTGCTACCGACTGCAACACTGTGCAGCTCCACTCCAAATCATGTTAGGCCATATTAGGTCTGCTATGCCATAAAATGACCATGGAACGTCATTTTCAAAGAGTATTTTACATGTTGACTCTTGAAATGATCATGATATGTATGATCATCATTATTATGCTGTTCTAAAATGCTTTCCATAATAATATTTGATCATTGTTCTTATATTTGTAACTTATATAACTATGTATGTGTACTACCATGTAAAACAATGTCAGATATTTTCTTCTTCTTCTTTTGTTCTGATTATTTAAGCGCAGTGCGAAGGATTACAAGCAGACAAAAGCAGAATCCTTTTAGGTAAATCTCCTAATGTGAACTTCATAATGATCTTAACTTCACACCCATCACTTTGCGGTGCCTGTTACCAAAGCTGTGTGTTATACAAAACATGATGTCATTTGTTTACAAGATGCTAAGGATAAACCTTCCAGAATCTATCTCCCTTCCTGCTGTGCTGCACTGGTTATTTATTTATTATTTTTACAGTTTTTATTGCAAAACATCAACCACAATAACACTGACAATAATAGGGTGAAGCTTTGCCAGTAAATATGTTCTGCAGATATTAGTTCATGTTTGACAATAACTGTGAAATGAGGAGCAAAATTTGCACTGGTAAGTAAAAAAACCCCAAAAAACACATCATGCATTGATTATTACTTTTATCTCAATGCCATTGTATTAAACATTGATGTGAAAGGTGATATGAATATCAATAAGGCTCTCTATCGATGGCTAATAAATACTTCATAACTATGTTATCCATTAATTTATAAACAGCAAAAAATTACTGTTTAATATGCGATAATTAAGTGAGAGAAGGAGATTATATGCTAAAAACAAATGTTTACAAATGCTTATTGTGCTCACAATGCAATCTGAAGTGTTTAGTACAACTCTGGATAAAATGTAGAGCTGAACAGACTCGACTCGCTGTTTGGCAAGAAACCGGGAGATTGCATGATACATGAATGCATAATAAACAGCTATTAATAATAGCTAATAATATAAATTCACATGTCTGCAAACTAGCCATCCATAACAGGAGCCTTATTGTGAAGGAGGCATCCAAATCGGTATCTGCTCACATTTTGTGGAGTAGAACCGTTATGCAATGCTCTGTAGTTCAGTGTTTTAAGTCATTTATCTGGTGAGCAGTAAAAACAATTAGAGATTTAAACTCAGCTAAGAGGGTCAGGGACATAAATAACCCCTCGTATTTGGCGAACCGCGCTGGTCCAACCGTGCTGCATGGGCCCCCGCGCTCTGAGGCCTACCTGGAGAGCGCTGGATCAGGCCCGGGCAAACGCACAGGGGATCAGGGTTAGAGGGAGATTAACGCAGGCCTATAAAGCTGTGTAATCCGCTCAAATTCAGAGCGTCAACTCCTCCACAAACAGCGTCTGTGCTCACACAGTGTCGGCGCGTTTCGGAGCCACAGGGAGCCACAGAACCAGAGCGACGAGGGTCGAGCGGCGAACCGACTTGGTGCAAAACAGGCGAAAGAAACGTGACAGGAGGCCGAACCCGTCCTCAGCGTCAGCAGCTGGAAGGAGCTCGAAGGGAGAATCATGAAAAAATCAAAGGTATCAAAGGTCTTTTAGATATGTATTTTTTGAAACGTCGTCATGAATGGGGTGTGCATGTGGATCAAGAAATATTTTGATAAACAACAAAATCTTGAGCTGGTTAATGCAGAATCTTTTTTCTGACGTCCTTTTTGCTCTGAAAAAAGCAAAACATGTTGTAATATTTCCTTTTTGCTATGAGGGGAAAGCGGTGTGTAATCAGTGGTAAGAGTTATGCAGCAGCAGATTATTTATGTGCATTTTGAGATTCTACATTTTCAGTTCTCATTTATTACTCTCGTCTTATTTCCCTTGTCTTAAATCTTTTTGTTTTTTTTCACCAGTTTGAATAAACAAACTGGTGGAGTCAAAATATCTGGGTCCTGCAAAGGTTTGAACTTTAGATTCAATATCGATGCGTTCAAATTGTCACTTTCGTCATAACATTCAAAGAGATGTTATAAAAGGCAAAGTCTGAACCCACATATTTACTCAGTACAGCATCTTTTTAATAAAATTTCTTTCTTTGTTCTGCAGTTATAAGTCATAAACATGTCAAAATTGACACCATAGTGTCAAAACGTTTTGCTGCCTGTTATTACATCATGATTGCAAACGTCAAATCAAGCATCAAGGTGACGTTACACCTGCGAGGATGTCAACTAGGATTGTAAAGTCACCCCACTTTTGTTTTTCGGCCTCCCTTTGCCCACATGAAGGTTCATATGAACTTTCAAACTAATCTAACAAGTGAGACCAGACCTATTTTGCACAAATTGCTCACAGAAACTTTTTCCAGATTCAAAACTCTCGAATCTTGAGAGCAGGTGGGACGATGCCAGGATTTAATGGTCCCGCTTCTCTCTTGTTGTATCCCAGCAGGTGGGGAATGAGAATGAGCCTCCCAGCTACCAGGAAGCAACTGCAGGTGAAGAGCTAACACCGTCTCTGCAGGCGACGCAGCGATGCAGCTGGAAGATGATTACGATAATATATGTCCTTTTTATCCCGCAGGCTATCCTGAGATGGAGGCCCAGTTTGCCTGGGATGATAAGACCATCAGGAGGACTTTCATCAGAAAGGTGCTTGAATGCAGACCGAATCAAAGGAAGCGACGTAATAAACTGAAAAAATGAATCAATGAAAGGAACCCTAAATCTGACAAAGTGCTCGTCTGTCTGCAGGTTTACGCCATCCTCATGCTCCAGCTGTCTGTGACTGTCGGGATTGTTTGTCTCTTCACGTTTTGGTAATTTGGTCTCGTTGTTCCTCCTCCTGTTCTGCTGATCTGAACTCCTTTATTTATCGATGCACATCCAGCTGAATCTAGACAACCTCTGCCTTTCTTTTCAGCGCGCCCGTGAGGTTTTACATCCAGACCAACCCCAGCCTGTACATGGCATCTTAGTGAGTAAAAATACTTCACTGTACCGTAATTCACACGGCCTGTTTACATGACTCATTAACTCTTTTTCCCCCTTGCTTTTACAGCATTATGTTTTTTGCAACCTACATTGCTCTGTCCTGCTGCGGAGATCTGAGGTATGATGATCGGCTTGTCCTGACATATTAGAGAGTTGACACTCTTATGTTTTTTTTTTATCTCTTTAATTTGACATCTTAATGGTTTATTTTAGTGATTCAGTTTGAATGCCATACAAAAATGTTTACCTTGCTCCTTCTCATATGGATACGTGACATATTTGACACATGGCACTTTTGCGGTCACATTTAAGTAACGCTTAACTTTTTATTAGGATTTTGTGCATTCAGCAACATATTTACCCAAAGCAGCAGGGTTTTGAGTAAACTCTTTGCTGAAGAGGTAAAATTGTATCAAAAATGATACATTAGGCATTAAAGGCAAATCTATATATTTTTAGATACAGTGCAACTATGATTTAAATCCATAAAAGTAGATTCATGTTCATATCAGCACACAAAAAGCAGAAACGTTGATTTGTCGTGACTTTGTTAAAGAAGCTGAGGAAACTTGACTTACTTACATTTGATGTTATGGGGAGGATGACGGGGTATTTTTTTCTTTTCTCACAACAGGAGGCAGTTTCCCTGGAACATTACTCTTTTAGTTCTTTTCGTAAGTATTATTCTCACAGAGATAAGAAAACTCTAAATGAAACGTCACACTCACTTCACCGTAACTCCGCCTCTGTCTGTTTCTCCTTCCCAGACTTTGAGCATGGCCTTCATGATGGGCTTTGTTTCAAGGTAAATATTACCGGCCAGGCAGAAGCAGTCTTATGTATTTCATAGTGAGACGTTGTGTTTGTAGAAAAACCTCGTTTTGAAATGTCTGCAGCTTTTACAACACCAAGTCGGTGATGCTGTGTCTGGGAATCACAGCTCTGGTGTGTCTGTCCGTCACTGTGTTCAGCTTCCAGAGCAAGGTGAGCAGAGAAGAAGAGGCTTCATCATCTCTCCAAACAGCAAAGCAGCAGTAATTTGGTGGGATAACTGAATAATGTCCTTTCATTATTATTATTATTTTTTGCTGCAGATTGACGTAACGTCCTGCCAGGGCGTGCTGTTCTCTCTGTGTATGGCCATGCTTCTCTGCGCTATCACCATCTCCATCGTCGTCCCCTTCGGATACGTATGTCAGCCCTCCTTTCTTTTCTTTCTTTTTTTTTTTTTAATCCGGGGCCTTCTAGAAGAAAGCTAATTTAGCCCAGGATAATGATGAGTTCAACAACAGCTGCAGCTTAATGCTTCAGGTGCTTCTCACTTTGGCGTCAGTGAGACGGGATTGACCCAGCAGATAATCTTGGACTCTTCTGTCTTCTGCCTAAATTAGCACGATGACTGTGTTTGGTAACAGTGGTTGATTTTCATCACAGGTTCCCTGGTTACACGCCATCTATGCAGTGATAGGAGCCATCCTCTTCACTCTGGTAAGTCAGAATGCTGTTATGTTAATGTCATCGTAGCTGCAGAAATAAAGTTTGTTATTATAATTATTCTTATATTTGATGAGTGGGATTAGTGTGTTTAGTGTGATGCAGTTTACACTTCATTTGAAGGGCTGTACATGACACTGTCGTAAATGTGACGTAACACCTGTTATGGCCAGGAAGGCGTCTTTATGAATGTTTGTGACTGTTGTCCTCAAGAGTCATTTGGTACGTAATGAGATGATCCATGTATGTGTCATGTCATATTTATGACAGTGTCATGTCAGTCTTAATCAAATAAAGTGTCTCATCTGGACTTATTGCCATAATCCACTTTTTAGATTCAGAAAAAAAAAATCTGTTAAAATGAAAAGCTGTGCAAAGCTGAGGGTGTTGTTTTATAACCACACTCGGCCTGAAACGCCTCCATAAACCTCTGCCTGACCTGTCTGCCGGGCTCCCGGGGCGTCACGACGCTGCTTGTTCTCTAATAAACTTCTGAGGCTTTCACAGAACATTTACTGAGATTAAATTACACACTGCTGAACACTATTTCCTCCACAACCTCCCTTTTAATTGGGGGGATCTCTTCAAATGGACCCAAGTACAGATGCTTGCCAAACTTTTGAGAAGTTTGTGGTTGTAATGTGAAGTTTTAAGAATTCTGGAACTTTTATGCAAAGCAGAAAAAGTTCTTTTTTAATTGTTCTTAACTCTTATTTCCTCTCCCGGTCTTTTCCTGTTGCAGTTTTTAGCTTTTGACACACAGCTGCTCCTGGGAAACAAGCGCTACGCCATCAGTCCAGAGGAATACGTTTTCGCCACACTCAGCCTCTACCTGGACATCATCTACCTGTTCAGCTTCCTGCTGCAGCTCTCGGGATCCGGTCGGGATTGAAGCGTGTGGCGTTGAAAACCTGCAGCCCAGAGTCCATTCCCAGCAGCAGGATAACAAATCAGGGATATCCGGATCCTCGGATCAGATTCCTGACCAGTCTATTGCCTCTTCATGTAGCCCCAGCATCACCGCCCTGCTGCTGGTTCATACTGTACGACACGCATCACCTGAGGGAAGTGGTTTATATTTGTTCAGTGCTCTCTGACCCTTTGTGTTTAAATGTTCGGGAATCGTTGTGTACAATCAGAGCAATCAGCGCTGACTCACTGGCTCCATTTCCGTTTAAATACCACTAAGCCAGTGGCTGAGATTCAGCAAATCTGCTCTGATGTTCTGCTCTTTTGGATTCAGCTGATTTTATTTTACAACTTATTTTGAAAGGAGCATGCAGATGACCTTCTGTACCTGTATTAGCATTAGATGCCGTTCTCTGTACACTATTAATTTATGGTTGAAATTTGGTCGGAGAAACATCAACCACAAGGGATTGTGTGTAGCATGTTGCAGTGCTTTTAACTGGTAAGATCTGTTTCAATATAAACTATTAATTGAAGTTAAATGTGGCCTTTTAGGTGTGATAGAAATATATTTTTCTCTCTCAGATTAATGACTTGCGTAAGAATGAAGACGGTTTAATGTGAATCAAAACGTGGAAAGCAACTGTTTTATTTAATTTTTTTTTTACAAACTAAAAGCTTTGTGTAGATGCTCCGACTCTACCAAAAACTGACTCGTGACATACGCTGTATGGTTTGTGTGAACAATAAAAAAGTGAAAACCAAAGCAGTGAAGTTTTCTGATCACATATCCAGTTAACATGATGTCAGAGTGCAAATCTACATTTATATTATTGTGAATGAACGTTTTGGGACATTAGTTTAATCCAAGCAGATGCTAAAAGAAGGTTTAATAACTGCTGAAGTCAGAGAAGGCCAAAAAAACAAACAAAAAACAAGGAGATTGAAATTAAACATGTTCAAGATATTAAAAAAGAAGTCAAAAATTATTTAAATTTTTTGTTCTTAAAATTTTTTATAATTTAATAACCCTAACCCACCACAGATTATTCTCATTTGTCTAATTTGCACCTTAAAATTTATCAAAAATAAAGCTATTGAAGGCAATATGATATAAAAAAATAGATCCTGCTCAACCACATGTGGACATTTAATACCAATTTAAACAACAGTATGAAATTCAAATAATTAAAAAAACAATGAGACTGAGCTGAAATGTTTCTGTATAAAAAGCATTAAAAGTGCAAACTTTTGGTGATGAGTAAATTATGAAATGATATTTTGAAGTAACACCTTTACTTCAGAACAAATTTTGGCTACTTTACTATCTATGGTCACTTCAGTGAGTGAAGAACAGGTGCAGATGAACAATCACACAACTGAAGTAACGTTGTTTCTTGTTTTTCTATCATTTTCCGCCAGTTGTTTAAGGCTCTTTGCATGTACGGCACATCACATCCGAAAGCGAAATGCGGCTTTCTTGCTTCCACTTTTGAATTACCAAACATTGTTGACTTAAAACTATAATAGGGTTTTAGGTTTTCACGGATTTCCAAACAATCCGCAAAGTTTGCAGCCTTCACTTCACTCCAGATCAGCTTCTTCAGCCTAAAACTACCGGGAGAGACGGAGGGTAAATAAAGGAGCCGTCCTGTGTTATTTCCATGGAACCACTTCTGTATTCAGCCTGAGAGGAGCGTATGGGAACAAGTGAGCAGACAGGAGCCAAACAGCCGAGCAACTGGTCTTTCTGTACACACTGCTGTAAACACCATCCTATTCCAGCTCTTCTCAAGAAGCAGACAAAAGTAATAAAACTAAATAACATGGAGACCTTAAAGAACACGGCCATATTTTTCTAAAAGCAACAACTTTGAACCTGGGCGGTCAGCTGACCTACGACTCCGACACCAGAGCTGCTCTACTGTTAAGCGATGGGCTTGTTGCGGTTCCTTTTGGCCGGGAAGCAAAAAGCCCGAACCGTAATCTGTAATCTGCCCCGTTACTTGGTTTGTGTTTGACACTAATGACGACAAACACATGTATTCCTGAGAACAAGTACAAAATAAGGTAAAAACTTTGTCCGTTAGAATGGATTAAAATGTTTACGTACTTATATAGCACAATTTTACAAGAAAAACGTCGGAGAATATTGTCTTCTAGCATAAACTGAAGTTAATGTTAACCACAAAGTTCAAAGAAAGTAAAACTCACCTTTGTATCCGTGAATGTATAACGAGTTGTACATCTTTTCTACTTATTGGAGCTTCGGATCGAGGAACTTTGTTAATTGTTACCTTGGGCTATAGCCCTGAAAGCACCCAGTGTAAAATGTCATTTTCAACAGACCGGAAGAGACAGAGCCGCATTTCCCCGAACACGGAAGCTGACGTGCAGGAGATTGAAATTAAACATGTTTAATTTCAATTAATTATCAGAATATTATCAGAATATTATCAGAAAGCCTTATGTTGTAAAAATCATGCAATGATTTTACTTTCCAAAAAATACCCGAATTTGCTCATTATTGCACATTTGTGTCTGACTTATTACTATGCCACTAAAAATATAGTAATAATAATTAGACAATAAAATAAAATGTATGTACTTTAGTAGTCTTTACCTGAGTAATTTTTTTAAAAAATTACTTTTTTTTTCTACTTGAAGGATTACTTTTTTGAAGTGATAATACTCTCTTTGGAGCAAATCTACTCATTAGAGGTAAGCACACAGTTACACATATACAAATAAAAACAGCTCACTCAAACATTAAAAGTTGTTTTATTATAAAAAGAAAACTGACAAATTCAAAGATAAATCAAAGAGAAAGTAAAATCTTGTCTCAATCATTTAAAAAACAAAAACAAAACACAAGTTAAAGACAATTTAGCAACTCTGGCACAGGAAGACAAAAGTAGCCAAGTGGCTTTTGCAAAATAAACCAAATAGAAAACCTCTTTCCTCTAACAAAACTGTACAAATGCGTTATTGTATAAATAATAAAATGTTCACAAACAGGGAGTTTTACGAGCCCAGTGGATTTTCAGAATGCTTCACGAAAACGTTCAGTGTGGAAAGTTCAACAGCACCACCTTTAGCTGGACTTCGATCAATAAAGATATGCTGGGACGCGAGCCTGAACATTCTTTTACCCAGGCGGAATAAAAATCAGTATTGTTAGTTGTAAATCCCTCAAAACAAGCAATTCACACCAAAAAAAAAAACAAAAAAAAACCGTCCAGTTCCCCCGTCGTGTTACCATAGCAGACATAAACATGCGCTTTACAGCGGATGTTTTGTACTTTATAGCCACCGCGGTTTCTCCTGCCCTCTCATAAAGAGAGGTGGAGCAAGTTGAGAATCGGGCCATAAGATCCCACTACCTCCTAAGCGATGGCTGATCCGCTAGGAAAATAACAGAATCTAAGAAAACAGATGTGTAGCATTGTGAAAATCCAGACTGAACAAGCTAAAACCACCCGCTTGGAAATCCTATCTTAGCAGCGAAACAATTTGAAACTATGAAATAAGCCACCAAATTAACTTTAGGATGGATTTTTTTTTAATAATAATAAAAGAGCATTTGAAATATTAGTAAGTGCAACAAATTCTTTTTAAATCTTAAATTGTGTGTACTATCTACAAAATTAGTTTGAGTATTTTTTTTTTCTTACAATATTGCAATCAAAAGACAAGTTCATTTACAAACATTACAACTCCTTCTTGTAACATTTTCTCTCGTAAAAAAATAAAAAAATAAATAAACACTGCTTTGCAACTAACACATGGTCATTTCATAGTTTCAAACATCACGGTTTGTGTATTAAAAGTGGTGGCTAAAACATGGAATAGCATTTATTTGGATATTTCCTTCATGGTGCACTGAATCTGAAAACTTGATAGTCACGATGTTATCTGGACAGGTCATAAATCATACAAAAAGAAGAAAAAACAAACAAAAAAATCACTGAATCACACAAGATGAAACAAAATAGACTGGTAAAGAGAGAGCAAGTACAAAGAGAAAAAAAAGGCTATGTACAAAAGTAACTTTGTGTCTGAAAACTGTCTGTTTAACACAATGAAGAGCAAAGCTGTTTTTCTCCTGGACGTGTGTTGAACCCCCCATAGATTCACCAGTGTGTCTGCATGCACTCAAAAGCTCTCCTATTTACAGTCGAGGAACGTCCTCCCTACAAATGCTTTAAAAAAATGTATCAAGAGGACATTTCTTCTTTGCATCGTCTAAATAGGTCTGCAAAGGAAATAATAAATCAACTTTACCTGTGGTCATAATTTTGAGCATGATTCCACGCTTGTCCTATTTCTAATGTCTGACTTCATCCGATTTTTAAAAATGCAATTAAAAAAAAAAATGGAGATAGCTACAATGTCTTTGGTTGCAGAAACATAAAGCAGGACAACAGCTAAAAGTTAACGTCATAAAAAAAAAAAAAAGACCAGGACAGAATCAGGAGGATCAAACTGTGAAGCCCTGAGGCAGACGTCGTTGACCTCGAAAGATGAATGATTAAACAGGAGCATAAACCAGCAGCGACTCTGATGTGATAACTAACTCGACGGGATGCAGAGAAGCCTGTTGCCATTTTCATAGTATATACAAATAAAAGTCAATTCAGTGAGAAATCAGGCAGTAAATCCAGAAAAGGATCATTAAGGCTTCGCTAAAAATGTTTAGTTTTTATTTTTTTGCAGAATTTTGGATCTCTCACAAATTCATTCAGACTTGCAGTCTCACTAAGGCTGTCAGAATCGTCTGTAATGGCACTTCCATGGTCTGGTGAGCAGTCCTTTGTAAAAACCACTACTTACTATCTACATATCTACAGTTCTGGTGTCTACAAATTTACAGGTCGACATATTTGAACAGACATGGTGACGTCAGTTTCACTTCACTCCATGTGCTGACCGGTATTTATTTGAACACCGCGACGCTTGGAGCAGGACGAAACGCTTGGATCAGCACAACATTTCCGTCAGTTTGGTTGAGCTCTCGGCTCTGAAAAGCTCTCCACAAACAGTTTGGACACAATATGAGGACAGACAGACGACACAAGGCTTGGAACGGAAACTTTTCATGAAAGTGAAACATGAGAAATCTCGATGTGAACAAGAGAAAAGCCTCAAACCAATTGAAGAGGAAACTAACATCTAGTCTCTGTGAAGAGATAAAACTCTACAGCTAAAATCTAAGCTAAGAATATTTCATCAAAAAAAGGCAAATCTTTTTAGCAACAAACAAGAGAAACAACAACAACAACAAAAACCCAGAAAAAATATCTTTCTACAAACTAAAAACTTACAGACAGACTCAAACTCAGATGACAGCAGCATTGAAAAAAAAAAAGACTTATCACTCCCTTTCCTATCAAACTAAACCATTCGGTGGGATTTTCTAAGTCTTTCATTAATTTTCCCTCATCACTTTTACTACTCTTTAATTTAGTAACTGCATTGCTCTTTTTACACATAATATCTAACTGCTTCGTTCTAAAGCATGTTCACCTCACCTCTGGGACAGAGGCTGAATTAAAAGATACCTGATGGCAGCTGCAACAAAACCGCTTAAAACCACTTCTCAGAGATAGGCATGGGCCGCTGTGGAAATATACAGTTGAGCAAAGAATGACACGGTTTCATAGGTGTTGAAAGACAAAATTAATAAATGTAATAAAACAAAACAAAAATAAGATATAAATAAAAAGCATGGAGAAAATGGCAGGTAACTAGAATTGGCTAACAGTA